GATCCCATCCCATGGATTCCTTTCCATTCCATCCCATCTCGTCCCATGAATCCAATCCCATCCCATCCCATGGATCCCATCCCATCCCATTCCATCCCATCCCATGGATCCCATCCCATCTCGTCCCAAGGATCCCATCCCATCCCATGGATCCCATCCCATCCCATCCCATGGATCTGGTTCGATCCCCATCCCATTGCATCCCGGCCCATCCCATGGATCCCATCCCATTGATCCCATCCCATCCCATCCCATCCCATCCCATCCCATCCCATCCCATGGATCCCATCCCATCCCATGCCCTTTCCCCCCACTCCCCTCCACCCCCTCTCACTCTCCCCTCTCCCTGGCACACCCAGCTGCCCTTCCCCCTCTCCTAACGCCCATTCCCAAAATTCCAGCGGGCGGGCAGCAAGCAGGCGGGCACCCCTGCTGACAATTACCACCTTGCCCGGCGCCGGACGCTGCAGGTTGTGGTCAGCTCCCTGCTCACCGAGGCCGGCTTCGAGAGCGCCGAGAAAGCCGCGGTGGAGACGCTCACCGAGATGATCCAGAGCTGTGAGTCCCCCCTTTGCTCATCCAAGRATTTTTTTTTGTGTTTTCAGAGGGGTCTGATCCCGGTTTTGTTGTTGTTAAATAAAAAATAGAAGAGTAAGAGCAAATTTCCGTGGGTTTCTGTTTCTCCCAGCTCAGGAATCTTTATTTATCCTACTCAGTAATTGCTCATTAGATACTCCCAGGAGCTGCAGATATTTCTGGAATAAACAGAGAAAAATTCCAAATACTCAATTTGCAAAGTCCCTCTTGGAGCAGCTCTGCTTCTTCSTCTGTGGGTGTTGAAAAACCTCACCTACAGCTTGTTCTGAAATCAAGAAATGATCATTTCTGGGTTTATTTTTCACGTTTAGATGCGGTTTTGCCTTTTACCTTCATGGTTTTATCTTCAATTCTTTAATCTTTGGTGCCCCCACCAAGGATTTAATTTTAAACACCCAGCCTGCAAAACACTCCCTCTCAAAAGCTCTTTTTCATTCCTATATAAATTCCTTGAAAATTCCCCATCCCTGAAGCTGTGAGAATTAAACAGGGGGTGGTTTTATTCCTCAGATATTTCMGAAATTGGGAGGAGTGCCAAATCCTACTGCGAGCACACAGCCAGGACCCAGCCCACGCTCTCGGACATCGTGGTGACCCTCGTGGAAATGGGTGAGCAGCTCCCTCTTCCCCCTCATTCCATTTCCTTTGGATTGGGAAATATTCCCCTAAATCTGGAATTTGGGCGGTGCCCACTGCTCATTTTTCCTTCTCCTATCATTCAGAACCCTCGGAAAAATTCTGGAGAGAGGGGAATTTTGACAGGATAAATTCTCCACGTGATTCCTGTTTCTCTTTCGTGTTTTAGGGTTCAATGTGGAGACTCTTCCYGCCTATGCCAAGCGTTCCCAGAGGATGGTGATCACTGCCCGTACGTGGGGAGCCCTTCCTGGACTGCAAGGAGCTGGGAATAATTTGGAATTCCTCTCTGCTGCCTGCCTGAGAGCTCCTGATGAGCTTTCTGAGGGATCATTCCAAAAATTTGGGGCTCCTGTGATGACATTGAGGAGGAAAAGGGACCCTCGGTTACTCAGGGTGGTTTTTTTGCAGGACAGAGGGGCCAAGGGATCCTTTTCCCTTCTGGGATGCCGATCCCAATCCCTGGATGGGGTCTGGGAGGGGGTCCCAGCTCAGCAGCAGAACTTTGGGGTGACCCTGGGCAGGAGGAACTCCTTGATTCCCGTGTTTTCCCATGTTTTCCCATGTTTTCCCTTGTTTTCCCATGTTTCCCACTGCAGCTCCAGTGACAAACCAGCCCGTGACTCCCAAAGCGCTGACAGCCGGGCAGAACAAGCCTCACCCACCCCACATTCCCGGCCATTTCCCGGAGTTCCCTGATCCTCACACTTACATCAAGACACCCGTGAGTGAAAATAACATTTTTATGCTTTTTGGGGTCTTTTGGAAGTCCAGGAATGGGGTGGTTTTACTGCAGTGCTGAGACCTTTTATCCAAAGTTTCTCCTACCTTAATACTTTCCTTGTTTGTGGTTTTTGGACACCCTGTGCCAAAAATTGGCCAGAATCCCTGGATTTCTGGCTGATTTTTGTGCTGGTTGGGATCTGTTTGAAGTCCAGAACTCCAGGAGTGGTGTTTTTAATTGCAGCGCTGCTGCTGTTTATCCAAACTATTGTTTCTCCTGGCTTAAAATATTCCTTGTTTGTGGGTTGTGGACATGCCTTGGGATGGGGTCCTTCCCATTATCTGCTTCCTGGCCCATCCCATTACCTGCTTCCAGATCATTCCCAGTTCAGAATCCCTGGCAAATCCCATTATCTGCTTCCAAACCTTTTCCAGTTCAGAATCCCTGGCAAATCCCATTACCTGCTCCCAGACCCTTCCCAGTGCAGAATCCCTGGCCCATCCCATTTTCCAATCCCAAACCCTTTCCAGTACAGAATCCCTGGCCCATCCTATTACCTGCTCCTAGACCATTTGCAGTTCAGAGTCCCTGGCCCATCCCATTGTCCACTCCCACAGCATTCCCAGTACAGAATTCTAGGCCCATCCCATTATTTCCTCCCAAACCCTTCCCAGTGCAGAATCCCTGGCCCATCCCATTATCCACCCTGTGGCCCACCCCATTACTTGCTCCCAAATCTTTCCCAGTTCAGAATCCTTTGGCCCATCCCATTATCTGCTCCCTGGCCCATCCCATTTTCTCCTCCCAAACCCTTCCCATTATCTGCTCCCTGGCCCATCCCATTACTTGCTCCCAAATCCTTCCAGTGCAGAATTCCTGGCCCATCCCATTATCTGCTCCCAAACCCATCCCATTATCTACTCCCTGGCCCATCCCATTATCTGCTCTCAAACTGTTCCCAGTTCAGAATCCCTGGCAAATCCCATTTTCTAATCCCAAACCCTTCCCAGTGCAGAATCCCTGACCCACCCCATTACTTGCTCCCATATCTTTCCCAGTTCAGAATCCTTTGGCCCATCCCATTATCTGCTCCCTGGCCCATCCCATTTTCTCCTCCCAAACCCTTCCCATTATCTGCTCCCAAACCCATCCCATTATCCACTCCCTGGCCCATCCCATTTTCCAATCCCAAACCCTTTCCAGTGCAGAATCCCTGACCCATCCCTTTATCCACTCCTTGGCCCATCCCATTGTCCGCTCCCTGGCCCATCCTATTATTTCCTTCCTTCCCAGTTCAGAATCCTTTGGTCCATCCCATTATTTCCTCCCAAACCCTTCCTAGTGCAGAATCCCTGGCCCATCCCATTATCTGCTCCCAAACCCATCCCATTATCCACTCCCTGGCCCATCCCATTACCTGCACCCAGACCCTTCCCATCACCAAATCCCTCCATTTCTGCCTGCTGGACCTCTTCAACTCCCCAAATCCCTTTGGATCCTGAAGAGCAGAGCCTGCAGCTCCTCCATCCTTGGTGCTTTTGGCAAATGGAGCTGTTCCATCCCTGTTTTCCCCTCTCCAGACCTACCGGGAGCCGGTGTCCGATTACCAGGTGCTGCGGGAAAAGGCGGCTTCCCAACGGAGAGATGTGGAGAGAGCCCTGACCCGCTTCATGGCCAAGACAGGAGAGACCCAGAGCCTCTTCAAGGATGATGTCAGCACATTCCCATGTCAGTGATTCCGTGCCTTTGCATCCCTGTTTTCCCTTTTTTAGGGTTTGGGAATTGTCGTGTGGGGTTTGCTTTGCTGAGGCGCTGGGAAAGGAGGGATTTGGGGTTTGAAATGGGGAGGGAAACCAGAAGGTGGTTCCTGAATTCCTCAAGGCTCCCTTTTTTCTGCTGTGGAGAAGGATGAGAGGGGCTTAATCCAAAGCTCATCTTGATCCTGGCCCATCTTCTGTAATCTGACCAAGGAATTTCTTTTCCCTGACGTTTTTCTGCTAAATCCAAAGCTCATCCCATCCTGGCCCATCTTCTGTAACCTGACCAAGGAATTTCTTCTCCCTGACATTTTCCTTCTGGTGGAGAAGGTTGAGAGGAGCTAAATCCAAAGCTCATGTTGATCCTGGCCCATCTTCTGTACCCTCATCAAGGAATTTCTTTTCCCTGACGTTTTTCTGCTAAATCCAAAGCTCATCCAATCCTGGCACATCTTCTGTACCCTGACCAAGGAATTTCTTTTCCCTGACTTTTTTTTTTTTCACTAAATCCAAAGCTCATCCCAATCCTGGCCCATCCCCTTTACCCTGATCAAGGATTTTCTTTTCCCTGACATTTTTCTGCTAAATCCAAAGCTCATCCAATCCTGGCGCATCTTCTGTACCCTGACCAAGGAATTTCTTCTCCCTGATATTTTCCTGCTGGTGGAAAAGGTTGAGAGGAGCTAAATCCAAAGCTCATCCCAATTCTGGCCCATCTCCTTTACCCTGAACAAGGAATTTCTTTTCCCTGACATTTTCCTTCTGGTGGAGAAGGTTGAGAGGGGCTAAATCCAAAGCTCATCTTGATCCTGGCCCATCTTCTGTAATCTGACCAAGGAATTCCTTCTCCCTGGCATTTTTCTTCTAAATACAAAGCTCATCTCGATCCTGGCACATCTTCTGTACCCTGATCAAGGAATTTCTTTTCCCTGACGTTTTTCTGCTAAATTCAAAGCTCATCCCATCCTGGCCCATCTTCTGTACCCTGACCAAGGAATTTCTTCTCCCTGACATTTTCTTGCTGGTGGAGAAGGTTGAGAGGAGCTAAATCCAAAGCTCATCCCAACCCTGGCCCATTCCCTTTACCCTGATCAAGGAATTTCTTTTCCCTGACATTTTTCTGCTAAATCCAAAGCTCATCTCGATCCTGGCCTGTCTTCTGTAACCTGACCAAGGAATTTCTTCTCTCTGACATTTTCCTGCTNCCCATCCCATTACCTGCACCCAGACCCTTCCCATCACCAAATCCCTCCATTTCTGCCTGCTGGACCTCTTCAACTCCYCAAATCCCTTTGGATCCTGAAGAGCAGAGCCTGCAGCTCCTCCATCCTTGGTGCTTTTGGCAAATGGAGCTRTTCCATCCCTGTTTTCCCCTCTCCAGACCTACCGGGAGCCGGTGTCCGATTACCAGGTGCTGCGGGAAAAGGCGGCTTCCCAACGGAGAGATGTGGAGAGAGCCCTGACCCGCTTCATGGCCAAGACAGGAGAGACCCAGAGCCTCTTCAAGGATGATGTCAGCACATTCCCATGTCAGTGATTCCGTGCCTTTGCATCCCTGTTTTCCCTTTTTTAGGGTTTGGGAATTGTCSTGTGGGGTTTGCTTTGCTGAGGCGCTGGGAAAGGAGGGATTTGGGGKTTGAAATGGGGAGGGAAACCAGAAGGTGGTTCCTGAATTCCTCAAGGCTCCCTTTTTTCTGCTGTGGAGAAGGATGAGAGGGGCTTAATCCAAAGCTCATCTTGATCCTGGCCCATCTTCTGTA